GCTCTGCGCATGGCAGGGACGCAGAGACGCTCAATGCGACCAATGCATGACGTGCAGAGAAAGGGGAAAGTGCATGGGGATTGAAGAGACGCAGATAGACGGCGACTAAAATGTACTCAGGGGTACATTTTAGTCGCCCTCTACATGACCCTCTGCGTCTCTGCAATCTCCACGCACTTTCCCCTTTCTCTGCCAGGTTCGCCGTCTAGGCAAGGTGCCACCTAATACGTTGGCCACTTAAGATGTGGCCTAGACCTCGCCCATTGCGGCAGGTCAGCGCGAGTTTCCCGCCTTTCCCATGCTTTTTAGGTGCGGACGAAGGCGACGTCAACGTGACCTATTGGCCAACTATAGACTGGCTGTTTAGGGGACTTTACTACCGTCCCAGACATTTAGTGAAATGGTAAATTTGTACTTAATTGCCTCAACCAAGTTGTAGTTTCTATGTTTCTTGTACTATCGCACCTTATCGCAGATAGTACCAGTAATTTCAAGAAATGTCTTATAAATTCGTTCATTTCTCCAACATACTGTCGTGGCTTGCGATCCGAGTTGCCTTAGTGTTCATGGTATGCGTCTGGAAATCGCTTCCGTTTGCACTGCGTAGTTGCTCAGCTTGTAGGGAGGTGCTATCACAAACACAGAATTGGTGTAGTAGGACCTAGCACTCCTAGGATCGGGTATTCCATCAATCTGCTTCACGCACACCCGGCTGTCGCTTTGTAAATGGACAGACAAGCCACTGTGAGTGGTTGTGAGTGCTACTGACACACATCTCAGCTAACATGGTAGTGATTATATTATACTATAATGTGGTATTTTAGATGAGCTGCTGCAAGGAAATCGTAGGGAAAGGCGAAGGCCACCGAAAATGACAGGTATTCATCATACTCAGTTTACGTTTTGGTCATTTGTTTGCTTAAATTTATTTCGGGCATTGGTTACTGAAAGAACTCTTTCTTTGAAAGATCTATGGCCGGGTGGTGGCGAGGCTACGTGGCGCGACCCCAGGTGGCGGATAGGGGGTAAATCGCGGACCAAAAGCCACCATGTACTTGCCCTGAGACGCAGGTGGATTCAGGGGATGGACTCCCTGTTTCTGTAGTGCTGTGTTGATTCATACCAGCTGTCTCCACTCAGCGCATCCATGCATGCTTGCGTGTGTGGTGCGCTCTGTGTGTGTGCGGTTGGTATCCTGCATGTCGGCACAGCCAAAAGCTTGCATTCAAGTGACTGGGAAGTACATGGGAGGCGATTCGGGGCCGCCTCCAAAAACTAAGCCCCTTGTTCCGCTCCAGGATAGCGTGGCTAACTACCTGGAGGTCTATCCTAGCCCACACGACAGAGCCTGGCAAGCTACTCGTGTGCCTTCAATATGCCGAAAACAGCAATATGGATGGGCCTCATTCCCCTGAACCTGAGGGAGCCCCCAATACGGCAGCGTTGGGTAGGACCGCTCGGGAGAGGCTGCTAGAATCTCAGGGCCCGGATAGGCTGCCTAAACGAAGAAGGACTAAGATGGCGATCTGTACTTTCAACGCAAGAACGCTTGCATCCGAAACACTTTGATGCTGGAGAAGATCTGTTCTTTGGCCATAAACATCGTACGAAAGCTTTCAACCCGAATCGGACGTTTGAGAATGAGAGGGTGTATTTCAACTCCTGCTTTGGCAGTCGGCATCGCTTGCGTGCCTACATCCAGCTACGACGAAGAAGGAACACGAAGCATTCTATAATGATTGTTCACAGGGGAGACCATACACGTTCCAGTCCATCGTCTGCGGCCTCAACTCTCAGATTGCCTGCAAGAACCGCTGAATCGGAACTCCACCATAGACTCGCTGATTGGATGGAATGAGCAGTGCGAAGGCCGTCCGGGTTACCATGTCGACCAATACCTAAATGGAAACTTACAGCTACAAAAACACTCACCTCAACTCGGGAGTCATCAGATCCATAACGTGATTGACCACTTCAACCACAATCGAACCTTTTGCCTACTGACGTCGCCTTGTAAAGTTCTACACGGGATTGGAACATCGTTTCCTTCTGCGCGAGATTCCACTTCTTCATGCACACTGAGTGAGCAGCAAAGTTTAGGAAGCGAGGTCCCAGGTCTCAACTGGGACCACTTCACTCCCTCGTTATCGAAAACATCGACTCGTATAACTTCGTTTCTTTTGAAACCCTTCATAAATCAGGAAGCAGAAGTTTGAAATCACCAAGAACGTCCTGCTCCGGAAATTTCGAATGAACCGAACGTGGACCGCACGAGCTGCAGGCAGTCAGCAACCAACAACCAAGCTTACGAAGCTATGCAGAGAGGCGATAGAAGATTTAAAGGAGCGAAGAGCAGCAGTACTGGCTGAAGCAGTAGAGGCTGAGAAAAACATCCGCAACGTGCATCCTGCAAAAAAGAATAAATAAAAAAAAGGATAGAGAAAATCTACCACACTCGGGTCGGATCTCTCGATAATCCCAAGTCCATCTCTTACTTAGGCCGATGTCATAGTTTGCGAATCGAGCGATTCGCTAGCGAATCGCTCGATCCGAGCGTTGCGCCAGCGAATCGCACCAGCGAATCGAACTTTGCGCCAGCGAGTCGAACGATGTACCAGCGAGTCGAACTAGGTACCAGCGACTCAATAGTGGCGGGACCCAACGTTTAAAGGAAACCCCGCCACTTCAAACAGTGTCCATTGCAAGTCCCGCCACTTTCAAACAGCATCCACTGTCACTTGACACGTGGACTTCCTTTAAACGTTGGGTCCCGCCACTATTGAATCGCTGGTACCTAGTCGACTCGCTGTACCTAGTTCGACTCGCTGGCGCAAAGTTCGATTCGCTCGTGCAAAGTTCGATTCGCTGGTGCAACGTTCGATTCGCATTCGCAAACTATGACATCGGCCTATCAGCTGCATCAGGATGGATACGTCGTTCCCTCAGTTTTCTCTCTGAAGTCTATAGGAGTGAAGGTCGACGGCCGGCAACTACAATACCTTCGGTTTGCCTGATGATATCGTTCCAATAATGTCGTACACTAAGCAAGCAGAGCGAGTGCTGGCTGATTTCGATTGCGGCCTGTGGTAAGGTCGGTCTACAGCTGAACCTAACGAAGACGATGCTTATGAGAAACGGATTGGTTCTGATGCCCCAATCCACGCTCAACGGAACGAACACTCCTATGCTCCGTGTACCTAGGTCGGGAAATCAACATGATGAACGATCTAGCTGAAATGCCAACGCTAGCACGCGCGAAACGAGCGCAGGGATCTACGGTTCCGTCCACTCTTCGATTTCAGCCTTCTCCTACCTACACCTCAGAGATAAGAACGCGCGAGGCAGCCCGCAAACCAGTCCCGTACCACGACCGATGTTAGAACGACCTAGAGAACCCTGTTGTAGAGAACAGTGCAGAGGGGAACAGAGAACCTAAATAGGCCAACGTTCGAAAATCAGGACCTACCGTTCGCCAAGAGCCGCAGATAGGGGGCCGTCACACTCATGCGATTTTGTGATGATCGTTGGGCCTTAGCGGCTACCGTCTGGTTCCCTCGGGACGTCAAACGAACACCTGGACGACCGCCGGCCCGATGGTCAGACTTCTTCACGAAAGCTCTGAACGAAAGGAATGAAGACACCGTGTCCCTCGAGCGAGGAGGGTCCACTGGACAACTCTAGCACGCGACAGGGACGAATGGAGACGTTGCTTATCTCTTCTCGGCCTCGAAATAGTTCGCAATGGGGGGTGATGGACGGGACGACACGTTGTACAGAGGGTCACCGAACAGGAATTCGGGATTGCATTTTCGGTGATGAACATGTGTTGCTCATGTCACTCAGTTTTCATTTCAGTTATTGTTGGAACGCTTCTGATAGTGGCATGCTGCTTGATGCTGCATGTTTTCCCCAGGTATGCTGTGGTGTAGATTACTTCATTCATATAAACCATAACCTTGTGTGTCGGTTCGTTTGTGCGTAAGCATGTAGGGTTTGTCTGTTCGTCCGCCCGCAAAATGAAGTGAGCGATAAGGCACCCATGGAATAGACAAGCCACTTCACAAATAAGGTAGATCGAATTGGAAAAAAAAGAAAAAAAAAAAAAAAAAAAAAAAAAAAAAAAAAAAAAAAAAAAAAAAAAAAAAAAAAAAAAAAAAAAAAAAAAAAAAAAAAAAAAAAAAAAAAAAAAAAAAAAAAAAAAAAAAAAAAAAAAAAAAAAAAAAAAAAAAAAAAAAAAAAGAAAAAAAAAAAAAAAAAAAAAAAAAAAAAAAAAAAAAAAAATGCCACACAAAGTGTTCTGCATAGGCTATTTGAATGCCAACTTCAAACGCTCATATAAACTGGCCTCGGCATTTTAGAGTGCTGTGCGTGCCAGCTGAAGAGTAAAGAGAGGAGGAACCACGTGAAGCGCACCAGAAAAGATGTTACGTGCGGTTGCCGGGAACCAGTCCTGGTGTATACAAATAAGGGGAAATGAAACAGTCCTGAAAATTACAGTTTTGCTCCGTAACATCTGGCCCAGATTGAGGATGTCATCATGTTAAACATCAACCAACTGCTAGACAAAACAAAGCGACATTAGGGATCTATGGGATTAGCAGGGATTGAGGGCTACCAGATCATTCTATTTCCACGCTGGAGTCAGACCATAAATATTTCAAGATCGTCTCTCATAAGAGTGTCCAAGTCTGGGCACAACCTTGGATTGGTGCTTCTAGCCCTAGCTGTTTCTTAATCCTTTTTGCGGTTCATTTCGCCCAAAATTTGCTTTGGTTCCCAGGTAAACAGTCCTGCAGACGGTCCGGGAAATATTTCTTCAATAGTTCTTCCGAAATGACCTGGTCTAAAGCTCTTGTTCTTCGTCGAGGTTATGTTTGAGCTGTGTACATTGTAGCCGGCTCTGTCAAATCGAACAGAAATTGAGGACGCCCACAAAATTTTCGGAGCCACTGATTTTTGTGATCACGCCTACATATAAAAGGCCTGCTCGATTCGCAGATATGACGCGGTATGTTCGGATATTTTCAGAATTATGTTTATTCTAATTGGAAACATCCCTACTGACGTAGCAAAGCAGTAACTGATGCTTGTCCTTAGCCACCTATAAGTTCTGCTACGTTATGTGGGCGGGAGCATGCTGGTCCACTGCGGAAAAAGACCACTTCCCATAAGGGAGAAGTGAACGTCGACCGAGTCATGTGAACCCGCTAATTTCAGACTCGCAAACACCTTACGTTTGGTTCCGCATTTGCACTGGATTGTGGTTGAAGATGGAAACGAAACAGTCCCTTATGTTGGAAAAATTCTCGAACGATCCACCCTACCTTTCACCTACTTTGCTGCACAAACTCCAGCGGATCATCCAGGTGAGCTTCGTTTTACATAATTTTGCGGTAATTTTGCATGAGTGAAAGCGATTATTACGAATTATGCTTTTTTTGAAAATGCATTTACGCTGCTTCGTTCTGATGACCTATCAACTTTTGACTGAAGAAACATTTCATCGCGGAATATGTCATGCATTACAAACTTTTGATTCGACACGTACAGTAGTAGTTTCCTGTGGTGGTTGGAAATGGGAAGATTTTGGAGTTTGAAGTTTGGGCTAGGATTCGGTGAACCCTAGCCTATGGATGTGTGCAAATATGTGTCGTGTCATGGGACTCGTGTAATCAATTAATAATGCACGTAGGGGAACATCGTACGTTCCTATTACCGTTCCTAGTTGTCCAGTCCGGGGCCATCGGGGCGCTTGGAGCTATGGCTTGACAGAAGATGGCGGGCTGCTGCGAGGACGGCTAGGAAGACCGTAGAGCTGCTGACTGACGACCGACGACCGACACTGACGCCGCCTGACTGGCATGGCAGAGCCCTTTTATACCTGCCCGGAGGCCCCGCCCATTGGGCCCGCCTTTGACAGTAACGTGCGCTTTCGCGACACACGAGTGCACTCTCCACGACAGGGTCAACCGTCGTTGGACAAAGTCCAACGCATGGCTCTCTAGCGTGTGAGAGTAATGCCGAGAGTGAACGTACGCACGGAGACACAGACGGCTCGCGCAAGGCGAGTGCGAATGCCGGCGCGGAGAGCGGTCAACGTCGGTCCAACGTCGGTCCAATGTCGGTCCAACGTAACGGTTGACCCTGGTGGTGGGTATGTTAACGTTTATGGCGTGTTGGGGTTTATCAGGCTAAACTTTTTTGGCAACGGTCACCGGCTAAAAGGAGGTATTAGTGAAGGGGAAAAGTGAAGAGAAAGTTCATCCTAGAGACTTCCTGATAAGATTACAAAGTTGAGATGCATATCTTTTGACATCAGAATGCTATTCAATAGACTTGCAATCGTAGCGGTGCAATCTTCGTTGTTATCATTTTCCACCCACTTTTTATGTCAGTGGCTTACCTAGCCCTTGAAGCCCTCGTGTGTCACGTGCGCTGGGCGCTGGACCTCTCACTTGCGGTATTTTTCTGGCAAGAGTATGTAATGTACAATAGCTTGAGTTTTAACACTTCGCGGACCGCCCTTATACGGGTAGCTCCGCACCTTTTTATGCTTATTAAAAACGAATTATCATTATTCTACCAACAAGTTCATCAGTGATGATACTAATTCATTTCCGGTCCTTAAAGAGTGCAAACACACCAGGAGCATTAAAAATGCCGAATAAATCAAACAAAACTATAGCCTTTCGTTTGGAATACTCAATGTGTTAAGAAACGTTCACGGCGTCAGTGTTGGGTGTGCAGTAGGCTCCTCTCGAGTACACACTTCTTAAGAAGACATTGTTCATAAATGATTCACGGACTCGGTAAAAGTCCGAAGCAGAGAGTGGTAGAGGGTGCCACTGGCTAATAAATATCCGAAAATGGAGTCACACTCGAGGAATGGCATTCCTTGATTTGTTCTTGATTTCTGCTTCAGACAAAACAGCAGCCAGGCCGAGCTCATTGGCACGTCTTAGTAGCAAGCTCGGAGATAAAATGGGCGTGTAAGAGCGTTCAGTAATGAGGCTGCAGGTCTACAGTGCTATGGAAAAGACAAGGTAGTCTACGTCATCTCCACCTTGGGATAGAGAATGGGCGTGCTAAACGAGTTCGACGAATTTGGATCCAATGCCCCACTGCCGAAATTGAACCTCAATGCAACCGTTGTAGCAACTGCGCTTGCTCTTTTCTCGCAGCGTCACGCCACTAAAGGGGGGTGGGGGGAGGTTGCCGACGAAGGAGTGAATTGCAGGTCAAGTGAGCTTCTAGCGCCTTTATTGCGCACTGCCAGACCGCAGAAGCGCGAATCAATACCTGTCAGTCTGTCTCCCACGCCCACGGATAGCATGCGTAGCGTGCCTATGCCCGGACCGATCCAGATAACCCGTGCAAGCAAGTTATCCTTGGACTGATTACGCATCAGTCGCCAACATATACACAAATATACAGCGAACACTTATATATTTACTGAAATTTCTTATGACGTAATAACTCACCATCCTCTCAGACTCTCCGTGGTCACCTCTCTCTGCCACAAATTGGCACTACGTATTAAGCCCTTACTCTGTCTGTCGGTCTCTTAGGGGCTCCATGCAGCCGACGTGTTCTGCTGAGGGTGTTATAAATGCTGCTACCAGACGGGGTAGCAGGGGGCATACGACCGGCTTTGGATGACAGGCGCTCCGCCAGCATGGACTACGGGGCGACGTGCCCCTTCGCCTTAGCTGGCCTCATCGCGTTGCCCGGTGAACACCGACCTGCTCCCGGTGGCCAGCCTACGCGCCGACACACGGTGGACACACGTAGCAACTGACTGACTGGGCGTGGCCAATGGCGCGAGAGCGCATCGGTCGGGGCGCGCAGTGCGCCCAGCGGGCCACCGTCGCATCCGCGACAAATGGCGTAAGGGGACATGCATGTGGCCATGCTTGGACCTTGTAGCTCTATATTTGTGAAGTTATCTCGCAATAATGTACGTGCTCTTCACTTGCGCACCGTCGCACATTTGCTGCACCGCATGCTTAACTATGGCGAAACTGACGTTCAGAATGAAACGCATTCAGAAAGCGGAAGATACTATGACAATAAAATACTATTACAGTGACTATAAAACACTATGACAGTGCTACCAGTCATACCCGAGTCTTCCTCTTGAGGGTGGACGTCGGAACTGCACAAGATGTGTGCCCTGATTCAGGCTTTCCGGGGTTCGGTACGGGCGCTCTTCGCTGCGGTGCATTCGCCTCGTGTACTCACGCTCTCATCTAAACTCTGAGGTGCTCCAGAATTAAGAGGGAAGCACTTGGTGCAGGAGTCCGTTCTGCCACAGTAATCCAAGCATTTGCAGGGAAGGCACGAATTGAATATTGCCTCAGATGCCTTACTTTATATTCGGAGACACCCATTATTTGAGTGCCTAAAATAACCGAATGATGCTAACCATAAGTTACTTCATCAAGTAGTCGAGTCAAAAAAGCCACAGGTTGCTATATGATCTTTTAAAGCAATGTCGACCTTAGAATACAATACTGCAGGTCGTGGATGGTACGAGCGATCGATGGGTTTGCAGTATATCCGAAAGAACGCCAACCATCTAATGGAACATTACCTTTCTGGTGTTGTTTACTTCGCTGATGACGACAATGCATACGACACCCGCCTCTTCACTCACTACATAAGAAATGTTAAGAAGTTGGGCATGTGGGCCGTTGGTAAGCATATCTTGATGGCTACAAAATACTGTTTCCTAATCTAGTTCTACATCAACAGGTTTATCCGGCGGCTTTCCAGTGGAACATCCCATAACAATTAATGGGACTGTCGTTGGTTTTAACGCGTGGAGGGCGAAATATCGAAAGTTCCCTGTTGATATGGCCGGCTTTGCGCCGCTCAATTTGGATGTCTTGCTGCGGTAGTTTCCAATTTTCCCATAAAGATTTGAGAAATATGAGAAATTGAAGTAGTTGCTGACGAATGCCTGATGAAGTCACACTAATGGCTTCAGCTTATAGGATGAGATTGCTGTCCACTGTAGTGTAATGGATGGGTGTCCGCCAATAGGCCCACCCACAGCGATCAAGCAAGAGACGAGCAGAGCTGGCAAAGGACGAGTTCGCAGCGATTACTGTAGCGCGTGGAGGCGTCTCAGCCAGGTTAAGAGAGTGTACCATACTACAGGGTCATATTGCACATCAGCGTGCCCAACACGGTGGTGCTCTTTGCGCATCTGTCGTTCTTTGCTTCGCCGCGATGGCGGCGGCGCTGTTGGTGGGCACCGCGCTGCTTGGACATGTTTCGAATCTGCGTCAAATGTTGTTCTACTTCGATGTTACCAATAGTATTATTTTACACAGGTGACCTTCTAGGATGCGAGACAAGAGTCCGCCTGAGGTCGCCGCGCAAGCGGAAGTAGGTCACCGCACGCGGTGGCTTCCGTGTCCAGGTCCTTGCCTTTTGAAACGTGGCAATTTGATAGGATTGAGCGTAAACAAAACCAGAAATGGGGCCTATACAGACGGAACAAAAAAGCGCGTTCAATCGGCCGGGCTATGCGCAAAGCCATGTTTCACTGCAAGCACGCCGTCGATGGTCGCACGCAGTGGCCGATGTCAGACTTTGCGATTGGAGCGATTTGGTCAAGATGGGAGTAATGTGAATCGCGCGACCATCGCGCGAATCGCGCGATGGGCGCCATCGCTCCCGTTGTGCGGGTCACAGGCAGCGAGCGCAGCTCCTCAGTCAACGTATCGATCGAGGGGCCGCGTGCCAGCGATCGATCCCCTGCACACGGCGTGACCCGCAAACGGAGGCGACGGCTACCCATCGCGCGATTCGCGCGTGGTTCGGTGTTACATTACGGCATCTTAGCCAAAATCGTTCATCGCAAAGTCTGACAGGCAACCAGTGATCTCTTTTGGCGCGGCGGTCGCAAAGGATTCTTGACCGTATCCCTTCTTTCAATTATGTTATATATCTTACTGTTCCCTCGTGAACCGCCGAGAACTTCCTTCCCTGTGTCGGTTTTACTTCTTCCGCTGTGGTGCCTTCCATCTGTGACACCAACATCTCGTTTAGGTGGCGCGTATGCGACAGAAAGTAGTTTCATATAGTAAAAGGCATCGCTATCATTATGAAATGTTTGTAAAATGAACAGGTGAACAATCCTAGCGGGGTACCTCAGGTCTTTAGATGATTTGGTTTTTTTGCGCCCCTCTTCCTCTCCTCTCTCCCTCCACGTGCCTTCAGCTGCCACATGAGCCACATTTGGAAGGTCAGGAGTCGCTCAGTGGGTGTTTAATAGCCGTAAGGGCATTATAGCAATTATTTTAACACAAAACATGATAGCTCAAGTCCTGCGAGCTACCCGATTCTGATAGCGGTTGCTTTTCCATTATCTGCCTTATCACTCACTTCATTCTGCGGACGACAGACAGACATACATACAAACAAACACACCAAGTTAACTTATTGAATAGGAGGAAACTTTTAACTTGAAGTGTCGGTGTGTATGTGCATATGTCTGTCTGTCCTCAAAATGAAGTGAGTGAGTGATAAGGCAGTAACAGAATCACAATTAAACGAAATAACGCTAAAAATAGGGTAGCGCAAAAGGCTTGAGTAACTAGTATGAGTTGCAATGGCATGGTTGTGATAATACCGTGACGGCTATATAAACATCTACTGAGCAGACTTCTGTCATTCCACAAGGTGCTGCAGTGACAGCCGAAGAGCAATGGACGAAGGAGGGGAGGTAGGAGGAGGACCATAACGTAAGCTACGCGGGAGGGAAGGCCTCCAACGATTGCAGAGGATCAAATGTGGATCAGTTGTGTAATCCTGGTAACTTCATGATTTGCCTACAGATACTCCCATTCTGAGGCACTGCGATCGAGGATTGCGGTAGTAATCTGCCTTAATTGACGTTAACCCTCCAGTAAAAAGTGTTCGGAGCTACTTGGGCACCGTAGGGTGAACTCCGGTCTCCTCATCGGTCGCGTTTCTTTTTTCTTCTCTGCTTTTATTCTGGAAAGCTTAACAAGTTAATCTCTAACTACCTAATTAAAATGGTTTTTTTTGGTGATGAGATCTAAGCCTAGGGGTCAAACAAGACCTTGATGTGTTGAGAAGGGCTTCAGACCTGTCATCTAATGATGATTTTGATCTGAGCTAATCTCGGACACGGTTAACACGATTAAGGAAGCGATTACGATAGATCTCAAAGGGGTTTAGAGGGGACGTGGGGGTCTCAATAGTACGCCAATGGCGAAAAAAGCAAAGAAATCCGTCGAAAATAAGCAAAATGGTACCCCTTTGATTGCCCTTTCATTTTCGACCATGGATGAGCGACGGTAAAACGACGTTGTTCGGACGTGTTAACCCCGATAGCCGCCATCATGCCAACAAGCATAGTGTTTTGATTGATAAGGGCAATACGTGGGCAAGTTGGAAGATACAGCCGCTAGAAGGGAAATGATCATCCAAAATGAAAAGCCAACAGCAAACAGTCCATCCAGATCATCAACAAACTAGTGGGCGTCACGTCACTGGGGGCGGGGCGTCACGCGGGTCCTGCTCAGCAACCACAGCACCTTTCGCCGTGGGAGGCCACACATCGCTTCCTTGGCAGCCAAGTAATTGCTCCGTGTGGCGCAGGTTCTCCCCCGATGCGAAAATTCCTATCGTAATCGCTTCCTTTAACGAGGTTATACTACGTTTCCGAAGTTGGTTGCGGTTTGCTCAAAAGTTAGATGAGAAGAGCAAAGAGCACTGATGGGAAAGAAAGTGAAGAGAGAAAACATCACAGAAAATGAAGTTTTAGTGAGGAGCGGGAGTTGGCGGGAAGTTTTGTCCCATTCTTTATGAACAAACTAAATTAGTTATTATGCATAATATTTAATTATTAGTATTATTTTTAATCATTAATCAACTATTTAATGTTACAAGACGCAACAAATCTTACGCGTTGTAATCGATCCCGCTTCTTCATTATTTTTCAGCCAAGCAGTCAATAGATTAGACGGTTGAACTCTGGGCTTGTTCACTATCTCGTGTAGACTGGTCTGAGTCCTTTTTCACTACGCCATAGCTCGTACAAGTTGAGGTCAAACATCTCCTCGCCTTCGGAAGTATTGTCTCAGATCCTTAAAGCAACAGTTCCAGGACGAATTTACGAGGTGAAAACCGTCGATAATGTAGTTATAGCCCACAAATTCGACCGGCAGTAATACCGAAGAAAAACGCGGAATAAGGCTTTGAACAGGAACCTCTGCCTTTAGCGATGAGAGAAGACGCGTGCTGGACGAGTTGTCCGAATCTGCGCTCCAATTGCAATTGCTGGCAAATAGCCATAATAGTTGGCTATTTGCCAAGCTCTTGCAATTGGAGTGCAATCTCTAGCTCATTCACTAACAGTTCGATCACCCCTCAAACTACTGCAATTCGACCCTTCCATTTAGCTGGGGAGCCCTTCCATTTAGCTGGGGAAGCCTTGATTCCGCTAATAACTGACTGACTTGGTAGCCATTACAACAAATTACAACATTACATAACACCACATAACATAACAAACAGAACAACACAAGAAAGAAGATTCCACTGCCACGGCAACCGCCAGATCAAGATTGATTCTTAAAGCAACAGTTCAGGAACGGTTTCGCGGGAAAAAACCACCAATAATGAAGTTGTAGATGAAAACCAGACGATTAATGTATGAAAAACTGGAAAAAAACGTCGGGGAGGGTCTTAGACAGGTACTCTCCCTCTGCCGCTCAGCAATGGATAAAGACGCACGTTGGACGAGTTGTCTGAACGTGCCCGCTGTAAACGCGCTCCATTTTTCAATCAATTTTCCCTGTGGTCCCAAAACGAGCACGATTGCCGACGCGTCCAATGACGGCCGGCAAGGGGGCGGGATTGGGGAAATCCCCAAGAACACCCATGTTTGAGGGACTTTCCACCCTGTTTTTGAGTTTCTGAGGTAAGTTCGTTTATTATTTCCACTGCATATGTTCTTCACTAGGGCTCGTGTATCCCTCAGTAGTAGTGGCATTGAAATTTTCGGACCCTCCCTGAACTGTTGCTTTAAAGGAAGAGTTCAAATCCCCCTGTCGGATCCCGAAACGAGCACCAATGCCTCCGTAGCCAATCACGGCTGGCAAGTGGGCGGTCCCGAAGAAATTTCCAACCACACCCATCTTTGAGGATTTAAACGCCCTTTTTGGGCTTTTCCCAGGTGAGTTTTCTTTATAACTTCACTTCAGATGTTTTCCAGTAGGGCCTGCGTATACTTTAGTGCCATAGTATTGAAAGAAGCAGACCCTGCTGGGACTGTTGCTTTAAGTGTTCGAAGTCGAACGAGGTCTTTGTTACGGGTCAGTATCGCTATCGTTAGTTGAACCTCGGCGGCTTTTACTAGAGCCGTCATGGTAGAAGAAAAATGTAACATAACGGAGGTGCTGACAAACTTCAAGTAAGGAGGAGGTGAAAAGCAGTTCAGAGTTGATATAACATTCCCGCCACCCTGATATGTATTTATTTGTATACATATTTCATATTCAAGCTCGACAGCTATTATCGGAAGGGATTGCCGTATCGCGCTGGGCCCAGAAACGTGTCTTCTTGAACAATTAGGATTAGCTGTGAAGGACATAGAGGTATTCGGCGAAGAAAATGAGGTGAAGGCATCATATGACAAATGACTGTCCAGTTCTAAGATTTCTCTACTTTAAGGAGGCGCAACAGGAAGTTCTAGTTTGGCATACCAACACAATGATTAGGCCCTTCGATGTTTCTAAAGCAAAGGATCTTCCCTATGTATTTGAGTAAGGATTTTCTATTTACACAAATCCCATATCATCTGTGTAGCTCGAAGAGGGACAGGGAAAGTATAGATTCAATAACTTCGTATAGCATACATTAAGAGACGACGGCCAAGATTAGGGTGCTTTTCTCGACGTGTCTCTTGTAATGTGTGATCCGCATCGATTTCCTTCTCATCTTCCGAAAGAGTATATATGCCTCCGTGACGGATACGCGACAGAAGGTCCGTGGTGCGGCAAGTAGGCAGAGTCAGCGGGCGAGTCGTGGTGTGCGATGTAGGAACCTAAGAGAGCAATTTTCAGCCTGACGCAAAATCACTACTGTACGTGTTGCAACTCATCCGCTGACTCTGCCTTTTAGCTCGCGACGGGACCTCCTGTCGGGTATAACAAATACTCATTGAACGGCAAGATATGGGTTGAGGGATCCCTTGAGTGTCGGCGACACCGGGAGCGCATGCGCATAGCTTTGTTCTACTCCCTGTCCCTTTGAACGACATGTGCAAAAATTGCTGGAATCTTTTTATTTTTCAGGCCTGTAAAAGTAACTCGCAAGTATGCAGGTGCTCCGAAGCCAGTAACCAAGTAAGAAAATTCATACAGCGTCTCTACACTTCTTCTTCTTTTCTCTCGCGCAATCGCGTGCCCTCTCTTTTTGTCAATTTTTGTCCCACTAATCTACCGGCTCATCTTCTGCTGTGGCCATGATTCCTAACCAATTGTCTTAGTAGGACTTTCCCGGTCGAACGTTGTTCTGAAACAACTTTTAGCAGAAGAATTTGCATGGACTCCTCCGTTTGCATACATGCGCTGTTAATTGCCTTTACTGCCTGATCCACACTTCCGTCGGCAGGCTAGAATCGCTCAAGGTATTGGGAGTTCCTCCATCCTCTTTCGATGCTTTCTCCATCCTGTCCAGGATCACCCCTGTACCCGCTTCAAGCTTAGGAACTTGGTTTTCTTGCATTTCGGCTTAAGACCCGCCTTCTATCAAGTACTTTTCGCCCATTTCTGCACATTGCCCTGGAGCTCTCCTATGCTATAAGAGCGACGTCGTCAGCGTAAAAAATGGTCTTCAATGGTCCCTTCATGAGTCCCTGCACCAAAACATCTAGAGTGAAAAGGAAGAGTAAAGGGGCTCTGTTATCATTGGTGATCCAAGCGTGATGTTTACTTCCTTCGTCAGGCGTGCAGAAGTGCGGTATTTGCTCCTAAGGCCAGCGCACAGAGAGGTTAGGTGTGTGATACTTGTTTTCTTGTAGTAGCGCTAATCGTGGTATGGGCGGTCGTAACGGCGTGCTCTACTGAGAAGCTAGTCGCACGCGGGGCATCTCTGCGATAATTCTCAATCACCTACCTGGCGATAAAGATGGCATCCGTTGTTGGCCGTCAGGCATGAACGCGAAGTGTTTCTGGGAGAATCATCAGAATTGGATCAGCTTCGCAGCGTCAAGTCACCAACCGGTTGTTAGCTTTAGGTTGCGCATTCCACTCAATTCGCGGAGGTTAGACCAGCTATCCCTTCTATATAGAATATTAGGACGATATTACATGTATTACAGGCATCCGGTATCCTTCCTTCCGCAGTTGCGTTGTTCAGGAAGATGGTGACCATCTTATGTCGTTCTTCCATGCCTCGTTAGCACCCCATCTAGACAAAACGGCTTCCTGGGCAAGATTCATCTGATTCCTGGTCTCTACAAGGTCAAGTTCGTCCTAGATGATGATTAGTTTCCAGCTGTTCCTCTGTCTTGGGGAGTGCCCAGTAGGGCAGATCCTTGCTAGGAAAGTGCGCCTACATTATTCTCCACCCCTCTCCCCCCTTCTTCGCTCCGCAGCATTTTCTCAGATAGAGCGCTGTTGCCTCTTCACACTTTCACCACCCGGTATCTAGTCAGCTTCGGATGGGCAGCCTGGCCAAGGTTTGGCAGAACATTTCTCTCCATTTTTGTGCATTCAATTTTTGTGCAAGGGCGTCAATTCCTGCTTCGCCTTGGCGGCGGCATCCTTCCCGAGCCTCTTTTAACTCTTGTAGACGGCTTTAGGTCTTCGCGTCTTTTGCCAGCGCTTGTATGACTTCTTCTTCTGCTTCACAGCTCGCTGGACCTCCATTTTAAACCACACTGCCTTATCTCTGTAATCTACTCGCGTCTCGCGCCGTACCTCGTCGGCCGTATATAGTAGGCTAATCAATCGCGTTGGCCTCAAGTCCGGCCGTTACTGACCATCCAGGATCTAGACAAAACAACCTTCATCTCCTGCAATGGGGGTCCGTCGGTCGCCATCTTTGGTGCGACTCCTACCCCGGAGTGTCCGCTCGTTCCTACCCTATAGTTTTTTGGGAAGGGTATAGAAAGTATGTAACCAAAAGGCACTGCACTGCAAAGATCGTTTATCGCCAGAGAGATCTTGGTGTCTCTTACTGCCCCGAAGAAGGTCCTCTAACACCACCGATGCACGAGTCGGATCTGTTTTGTTCCCTTCACGGTGCTGTATGCTATCGCCGGGGTTTCCCTTTTCGCCATGGCGCGTTTCGGAATCGGTCAGGCGTTTTAGGCAGTCCATAACCCTTCCCAATCCTCGGCGTTCGTCGTTCGTTATACCACTAACTTATTGAGACCTTTTTAGGCTCCTCTCTCGTTGTCAACGTGTGGCCATTCAGGTCACCTGCCATGTGAGGTAGTCGCCTTCCAGAGTCGATCTGCTAGCATCGTCGAGGGCCACGTACAACTCGTCCTTCTCACTCTGGAGCATCTTGGGTGTGATGCCTTACACCGACAGTACCCTCTTTGCGTGTCTATCCGCCGGCCATGATTCGGACGCGGATTTGTTCACTTCGAAGGCGATGGGTTTTGAGCGGTCCGCTATCGTTATGACCACGCGTTCCACAGGGTTTCCTCAGTAAGGTTTGCATCCTCCCCAAATCCCTAGAGTTTAGCTCCTTTCACCGCGTCTCTGGGAGGCATAAGACTCACGTTACTCTGCGATCCTAAAGATATACCACTTTCGGGAGACGCTTGTTTGCATTTCTAGTTCGTCTTTCAAACCCACTAGCTTCTTTGGCCGAGGCCGTTCCCTCCTCGGTAGCCCTCGCATACTGACCACAGAACTCGGGCGGGGGTTCTGCGCGCCACTTCCGGGTGACGTCCTAGCATTAACACTGATTCTTTTGCGACTTTCAGACATGTTTGGTGTGACTGGGGTGTTCATCAGCCGGCCTGAAGGCGTCCTAGCGTAACACTGGTTCTTTCAATTTTGAACGTGACTTGTGTACGGACCATTCAATGCGCCAGCCTTTCAATTTGGGCCTAACGGTGGTACTAGGGGAACAATTTCTGAAGGGTACCCAACAGGAGGCCCGCCGTGCGGCAAGGAGACAGAGTCAACGGACGATCTCGGTCGCAGCGCAAGCTGTGCAATGGTACATTCTTTTTAAATTGACCCAAACACTAAGCACGCGGCTGCGGCTTCGTTCCGTCGCTCATGCTTCTTTCCGGCGGCGACGAGCCGTCTGTCGGGCAGCCCAATTTTACGACACTGCAGGCATTCGCTAACCCGCTAGTAATCAAACTCGAGGCTATTTTTTGGTGCAGACAGTGTTTCTACGTATGAATGTAATATCCACATTGTCTCAACACTGTTCAACAAGGCTTTAAAGGCTCCATGACAGCGCCACTCCGGTTCAATTTGATGGTGTCACAGAGATCGATGAAATTATGGGTTCCGAGGGTTGAGTTTGAGTTGAGAAAAAGAGCCTTCAAACAAGGAGTTTCCACTTTTCCCTTGAAAAGGGGTGGGAGCAGGTCGGGACTAGTTGTTTGAACGTGCCTGCTCTATGGCTTCGCTAAGCACTCACGTATTTGGCTTCAGCCGCTACGTTGTAATTTCGCGGTGCGTCCATGGGATGTGCATGCGACGTCCACGTGTACAACTCGTCCTCAACTCCCTCCAGCCGTCACTAGTTTACTCTTTAAGGCCCAAGCCGACATACTAGTTCGCGGCATCTGCGAGGAGCAGCACAGCTGTGATCTCTGAGAATTTGGCCTATACGCAAAACATACAGCCAACCCGCGCAATGAGGAACCCGGTGCGTGAGTAACATGAATGGTCCGGAGGGCCGCGCTAGTGGTCGGGCCGCGACGGCGCGGTGGCGGTGAGAGAGTTATCTGTAAGCGTCATTCTATTGTGAATGTTAAAGGGACGCCAAGCCGACTCTTCCCGCCTTTTGCTAACAATCTCATCATGAAATCCGATTTGAATAGTGTCTAATACCGCTATATAGCACGGCAGTTAATAAATAACTCAAAAATAATACATTGACTCTACCATGTAACGATGGGCACAGATTTGTGCATAGCATTACGACCTATTCATTTTAATACTTAAACTAGGTTTGGTTCGCACCTAAGTAAAGGTCGGCGACCTTAATTAGGTGCAAACCAGACCTAATTAAGTACAAAAAGGTGTGCCGGCTCTACGAGAATAATCTTTTTGGAATTATGTGAATGAAGTAGACCATGAAGAATCATTGCTCCAATCGTCAAATTCAAATAAGGCCGCGCCCATCGAAAAACTGCCGCGTTACGACGCCGCGCAAGTGATCGCGCGCGACGCGTCACTCCGGACGATTCTGTTGACCGCCGCCCGACATGTTCTGCTTCTAAAGACCCTCATATTACGAGACGCGCATGCAAATAACGGCGGCCGTGCTCAGAAAAGCTAGTTACGACAGAGCAAAATCTGCGCTGTCGCCGAGGTCTCAAATATCAAAAAGCATTTGAGAAAATGTTTATACGCATCAAAATTTGTACTTTATTAATCATCAGCAAGAAAAGAAAGCATCTCCTAAAGAATGGCTCATCGATTCCGGTCTTGTTCGCTGTCGAAGAACACACCGCCGTCCAATGCGCAGTACTTTGGGCAAATGCCTTTCTCGCCTCTCCGACCACGGGGCCCTGGCGGACCTGGAAGTCCAGGTTCTCCGGGCATGCCTGGCAGGCCATCTTCACCAGGAGGTCCTTTGGGGCCTGCATCTCCTGAAATATTGTATTATGGTTTGATATTCAGTCCTTGGCTATTGCATGCAAAATCGACTTGATTCCTCAAATGGTAAATATAAGTAGAACATATTCAAGAAACTTCTTTGTCGCACCCTAGTCCTGGAGCAGATTGTTTAAGAAGCTTTTAGCATTACTAGTTCCACGTGAGCGCCAGCATAATGACAGGAGCGCAGAACATTACTCCTTTAACAGATACACACGACTCAGGCTTCCTGGCGACGATTCCTTGACCTGAGTGGTGGCCACATTTGACGCCACTGTCTGACGCACGATTTTGTCAACGTATCACCTTCATGGGCGGAAGTGGTGTAGTGGCAAGTGGCACGCTTACCACGCGAGCGGTCCGGGGATCAAATCCTGGGTCGTGAGTCGCCCGGGCCAACCAAGCCTTCCATCCCTCCGGGGTCGGTTAATTGGTACCAGACTTGTCTGGGAGGATAAAAACACTGACTTGTACATCGGCTGGCCCCCGCAAGTCATTGTATAGGCCACATCGCATTCAAACGCCACTACGAATGTACAAATGGAAGTAGAATGCGTGCCGCATCCCAAAAAGGGATTGATCAACGGCAAATGCTTTATCCTTTATCCTTTTATACCTTATTGGTCCATCAACGTCAGCTATTGAATTAGATGCTTAGTATGCCTAATACGGTGGAGTTTCGCTCTGGGCGATTTAAGGATCAACACATTTTCCTCTTCATCCCTATTATTTCTGCCTAACGAACCATTCACCATGCTGTAAACCCAAGATATGCCTTCATGGTGAGGTGTCTTCACTGTAAAAATCAGACGTAAATACAGTCGCTCTAAAACTGGATTCGCCGTGGGCACAAAGCGGAACAGGATAACAATCCTAGTGGATTTTCGTAAAAAGGGAGCTGTGACAGAAATGGAAGTTTGTGCTTTTGCCATGTTTTGGAAGAGAAGCCAACATGAGTTTATTCCGAAACGCTGCACCACTTCTATCCATTCTTGTTCGAGGTAGACGACACGCTGTAGGAATGGGGCCCTGCCGTTGGAAAGACAGCATGAACTTTGCTAACTGCCCTAATTTCGGATTCTCTTCTCCACGTCACCAAGAAAATCTTTATGTTTGGCCTCCGGCTTGG